AAAAAAAATTAAAATTAAAAGAACCCCACAAATGAGTGGGCATAACGAAAGGATGCTACCTTCTGAAACCTCCTGTTTAATTTCTAGTATCTGCTATAGAACTGGCCATGGTTATTTCACTGTATAAAGTCCATAGCCTAGCAGTATTAAATGTTTATTGGACATGGAGGGAAAGACAGAGTATTACCTCACCAAAGACCAGGTGCTGTGGTACTCTGGTTGATCATATTCCATTTTCAGAGTTCTGAACCACCTTTGGCCTTGAGATTGTCACTACCAGGCATGTTGGGACAGACCTCCATGTCCTGGCACCAGACTTCACCTTGGGGTTTCTGGCAGCAATACCCCATGCCATTTTGACTGACACTCCCTTCCTCCTGCCCCATCCCAGCTGCCCCACAGAGACAACCACAACAGCCTCATTCTGCAAAATTATCTTCCAGGCAACCTTCTTGAGAGGGAAAGTTATTTGCTGGAATCTGAACCAAACAATTAGTAGAATAGAGCCATCTCAAGTTATTAATCATGAATTCAGGGAAATAGATGAAATGTCTCCTGGCACAGTCAGCATGTATGTTTTAAAACTTATAAATAATTTTCCATTTTGAAAAGAATAAAATCAAGGGCTGTACTTGTCAAAGCATAAAATCACGGGCTTCCCATATTCCTCCTGTGAATGTTACCTCTGTAGAGAAACCATAGAAAAGAACCTTTTGGCTGCACATCCCACGGGGAGCTTGGCATGTTTTGTCAGATTCCGAAAGCGCATCCCCTGAGGAATTCCCGAGTCTGTTATTTCCCAGTGACTAGCCATATACTTCAGTAGCTCCATTCATTATTTATATCCGGTCATATAACAGTCAAACTGATATTCCAACAGTTATGGATGTAATACTATGAAGTACTTTTGTATGGTTGTATATGCTTAATAATAAAATTATTTTTCTTAAGTGGTTCTACTGTGTTTTATCTTGACACCCATCCTGTTACTTTTCTTGTTGCTGTGACAAAATATATGACACAAACAATTTAAGGAAAGAAACTTCATAGTTCAGGGAACACAGTCACGGCAGAGATGTCATGAGGCAGGAGCATGGCTGAGCATACTGCACTGGCAGTCAGGAACCAGAGGAATGCTGATGCTCAGCTGACTTCTTCTTTTCCTCCCTTTTTATTCAGTCTGGGACCTCCCCCGATGGATGGTGTTACCATGTTCAGGGCGGGTCTTTCCTCCTCAGTTAAACCTCTCTAGAAACACCTTCACATAGATGTCCAAGGTGTGTTCCCTAGGTGATTCTGAATCCAGTCAAGTTGACAATGAAGATTGACTAACACATCTAGGAAGATGGAGAAATGTGATCTGGGCTGGTTTCCACCACCCTTTGGGCTGGGGGAAGTTAAACGTTTCAGTCTAAAGCAAAGCCTGAAAGCCCAGATACCACTGAGTCTGGGTGTCAGATGCTCACTCCCCAGCTGAGTGGATTCTCTCTGTCTCCCCAGGTAGGATTTTCAGTGCGCTAACTTTCTGGGGCTCCCAGGGCGTGTGGCATAGATGCTCAGAAAAGGAGACTGAGGAGCGCTTGATCCACCCGACTCCCTACTGCTACTGTAACAGAGTGGCTCTGTTTTGCTGCTTCGGATTAGAATTTTGCCTAAGATTTTCTTTGGGAGAGGGCAAGACAGGATGCTGACTGCCTGAAAAGCTAAATAAAATGGGCAGGGGAAGCCCCATGAGTTGGTAACTAAAGTCCTTTAACTAAAGATAACAAATGGGAACATCCATCAGCTGGGCCCTGAGGGAGGTGAAATGGATGATAAAGAGTGAAGGTTGCTTGAAGAGTATAATCATCCTCATTAGGGCACCTTTACATTGTGAAGTTAACCTACAGCTGTACATTTCACTTTAGCAAGCATTCGCTGAGGGTCTGTTGTCAGCTGAGCTATGCAGCAGAGACACATTATGGAGCCAAAGTCATAATCTCCATCTGCCCTAGGGACCAATAGTATCACATTC